ACCATCTAGAGTGACTTTGCGGTAATGTCAGGAAGCACAACAGAACCATTCTAGGATTTGACCCTTATGGGTGCACTGGTCCCATTAGGGTTGCCACTTTTGACAACTGGACCGGGGGGGACGGTACTGTATTTCTTCGATGTGGAGATAAAGGTCCACCTAAATAGGGTCTCGAATGGCCTATGGCTTCCAATGAGTTCAAATCCCACAGCTTCTGTCACGGTACAGTTGCTATTGTTTTAAACATGAAACCAAAATGCAGTCCAGTATTGTTGCCGGTGCATGGAACAGTGCAGAGTTTCCGTAGCATTTGCTTTTAGCAGCTGCCATCGCAACGTAACGGCGGCGTTTATGGACAGTGGAGAAACGACACGGACAGATTAGTGCGTGACATCATCACGCACGACGTGACGCGAAAGCACCTTCTCAGGAGCAGCCGAGAGATGGATGAAGCCGATCGTCTTCGTGTGCCAGCGGTCCTGCTTCTGTTTTATGGTTCTTTATTTTTGTCGGCAGGGTTTTGTATGGGGCTGGGCTTAAATCTCTCCATTGCTGCCCCTCAAAGAGGAGGTGGCTTCAGAAGACATTATGAAGGACACGGGAGGAAACAGAGTGCCCAGACCAGGCTCCCCGCGGAAACGCAGCCTCTCCTGAATATTTAATGGCTTTCTGTCAGATGCTGGGAGAACAGGAAACTGATGGATAACCCCCCCCCAACCCTGACCGGTTGGCTCACTGCTGCTGAACACTCTATGTTTTGGTGATCGATGGCCACCCCTCCATGTCTCACCAGGCTCAAGCCGCACCTGCTCCCTTATTCGAGGGTGATCTTTTACCTCTGGCCCTCTGAACTCTCACTTTACCTGAATTCACCTGCCTCTAACCCCTTAACCATCTGCTGGAGAACCCAGAAATCTCACAACTGAACCATCTTGGTACGAATTAGTTTTTATTTTTTTAAAAACGTGTGGTCTGTGAACAACTGCGGCCACCTCAGGGTGGAAGCTCTCCTAGGTGTTGTAGTCACTGTAACTCTGAAGCACCATCCGCTTATGATACTCCTGGAGGCTTTGCTCTTCTTTTGTGGTGGTGGAGGGGGTAATCTTCTACTTTCATCTTTAACTAAACACCAACTGCAAATCCCTGCACAGGCTTCAGATGGTGCAGAACTCTGCAGCTCCCCTCCTCACCAACACCTGGACCCATCTGCCCCCCTACTCTCCACAACCTGCACTAGCTCCCTCTGAAATTTCACATCCCTTTCAAAATTCTTCTCACCTATCAGACCCATAATAATTGTGCTCCCCCCCCCATCTGTCTGATGTTCTCCTGCCTTATCGACCCCCACATGCTCTTAGATGTTCCTCTTCTGGGCTCCTCACTGTTCCTGCTTCCAAACTCCACAGCATCTGTGATCCAATCTTCTCTAGGGCCCCTCCTCGTCTCAGGAATTCCCTTCCGTGTGATATCTGTAACTCCGCCTCCCACCCGGTCTTCAGATCTTGCCTTAGAACCTCCTTATTCTCCCAAGCTTCAAGTTCCCTTCACTCTGCTTTCTTGACTTTGATCCCTTGTTCCATACCTGCTCATCTTGCTTCATCCATCTTCTATCGCTTATCACTGTGTACTTGTAGTTATTTATTTTTGGTGTCTGCAATGTGTCTATTCGGGCTTTGAAAAGTGCAGTGTAAATCTAATGTATTATTATTAATAATAAACTGCTGTAAATGTTCACAGACAGCAGGGGTGCACTCGGGAGAAACCCCCCCTGTCCCCGAGTACATGATTTACCAGTCACCCAGGAGCAGACCAGTATAAATTACACCCAATGCAAGTTTTGCAGATGGCATTGTCAGAGCAGTTACTGTGGAAATACAGCAGTGATGGGCACAACTGTGTGTGCACCAGATACACGTCTGAGGAATTGAATATTTCATCTCCATCTAACAGAAACATGACTGGGACGATTGATAGCAAGATGTGAAAAATCCATGCAATACATTTGGAAATATTCAGTTTGTGCCTGCACTGATTAGCCCTCAGATCCCGTCGGTGTGGCTGTGATGTTTGTACACATGATGGCCAATGGTTACAGGATGCATCCACCCCTTCGCTTTTTGCTTGGTAACTTGCTTGGTAACTGCAAAAGATTGTTTATTTAAAACAATCGTTTACAGATGTTTTCTGTGTATCGACCATGTTTTCAATAAACACAAGAACATCAAATTTGCTTAATCTTCGGAGAAAATAGATATCGACATTGTATAATATAGTCTCTGGAGGAGAGGATGCTCAATATGCAGGATCAACTCTGAATGCATCTCTGCAACATTCATCTTCATTTATGAATCTTTGACACAATCAAACTGTAATCATATCAAGTAAAACAGCAAAGGTGAATGCTCTTGAGGTTCCGAAAATATGTTTTTATTTTATATTGATTTTAGAGGTACTCTGCCTGCCCAGGATACAAACACAGGGCTGAATGAACAAAACGTCTTAAAGACATGCTTTGCATTTTCTTTCCCAGCGGATGGGCACACTGCCTCTTTCTCCCTTGAGACTGCAGGGGGAGCAGTTTAGGGCTCCAAAGAGATTGACGAGGACCAGGCATGTGGCATCAGGGAGGAGGGGTCCCAGTCTCCTTGCCAGCCACTGGGTTTTTGCAGCTTTGCCGAAGAGGTCAGGCTACAGTCGGCCTTCGTCCTCTTCCTCCTCGACCCACATCTCATCAACAGCACCGAAACACCTTTGGGTTTCGTGTACATTTTTACTGATGGTCCCTGGTCAAAATATCAATTGATGCAGATATCATGCGGGTACACTATATGGACAAAAGTACCAGGGCACCTGGCCATTACACCTACAGGAACTTTCATGACATCCCATTCTAATTCCATAGACATCAGTATAGAATTGTTCCCCCTTTTGCAGCTATAACAGCTGCCACTCTTCTGGGGAGGCTTTCCACAAGGTTCTGGAGTGTGTCTGTGGGAATTTTTGCCCATTCATCCAGAGGAACATTTGTGAGGTCAGGCACTGATGTCGGATTTGAAGGCCTGACTCACAATCTCTGTTCTAGTTTATCCCAAAGGTGTTCGATGGGGTTGAGATCAGGGCTCTGTGCGGTCCAGTCAAGCTCTTCCACACCAAACTCACCCAACCATTTCTTTATGGACCTTGTTCTGTGCACTGGGGCACAGTCATGCTGGAATAGAAAAGGGCCGCCGTCCCCAAACTGTTCCCACAAAGTTGGAAGCATTGAATTGTCCAAAATGTCTTGGTATGTCAAAGCACTAAGAGTTGCTTTCACTGGAACTAAGAGGTCTAGCCCAACCCCTGAAAAACACCCCCATACCATTATCCCTCCCCCACCAAACTTTACAGTTGCCACAATGCAGTCAGACAGGTAACGTTCTCCTGCCATCTTCCAAACCCAGACTCGTCCATCAGACTGCCAGACAGAGAAGCGTGATTCATCACTCCATAGAACGTTTCCACTGTTCCAGAGTCCAGTGGCGGCGTTCTTTACACCACTCCATCCAGTGCTTGGCTTTGTACTTGATGATGTGAGGCTTTCATGCAGCTGCTCGACCATGGAAGCCCATTCCATGAAGCTCCCGGGGCACAGTTTCTATGGCGCGGTTAATGCCAGAGCTCTGCATTTATTGAGTCAGCAGAGCGTTGGCGATATTATGCACTCAGTGACCCGTGCTGTTACTTGTGGTCTCACTTCGCGGCTGAGTTTCAGTTGGTCCGAAATACTTTCACTTTGCCATAATACCCATTACAGTTGACTGTGGAATATCTAGCAGGGAAGAAATTTCACGAACTGACTGATCACAAAGGTGGCGTCCTGTGATACCACGCATGAAATCGCTGAGCTCTTCAGAATGACCCATCCCTTCACAGATGTTTGTAAACCTTACTGCATGGCTAGGCGCTTGATTTTATACACCTACGGCAATGGGTCTGAATGAAACCTGAATTCACTGATTAATTGGTGTGTCCTAATGCTTTTGTTGAAATACTGTATGTTTTTTAAAACAATGCAAGACCTGGGGTAGGTATGGACATCCTGGAGTGAGACGGAGCTGGGAGGCATTTATTCCAGAATTTTTTCCTAGGATTAATGAAGTTATTATTATTACATTTGTGCCTCATAACCAAATATATGAGATTCAGTCCCAGAATGCAACCCCCACCCCGGCCACATTCTCTCAACTCCAGAAAGCACAAACCCCCTCTCCCTATGAGTGCTTCCCACCCCCCATGCCACCTAGCTGCTTGCTCCCCAGCCTAGAAATAGCCTTACGCAGCCCATCTATAGACGCATATAGTTTACATTAACCGCAATCTGTCGATAGAGCACCGGTTATTCGCGCCGTACAAACTTCGTAGCATTGTTAGCTTTGCAGGTGGAAATACACTTATCAAAGATTTTTTTCGAAATAAGTTTACATTCCCGAGGAACCAATATTGCTGAGTCGAGGATCTGAGTTGAGCCGGGCTCCATTCGCAAAAAGAGGGAAAATCTGATTGCATAATTCCCCCGGGAACAATTACATAACTGCAAAGCTCCGCACATCTTCTGACACGCAGGGATTTGTGGGGCTTGCGCTCTGGGGTCTTCTGGAGGTTGCGTCTCAAAAGTTTGCAGCGCGTCTTGCTTTGATACTTTTTGCTCAGTAAAAAAAACACGCTACACATGCGCAGGCAAAGCAAACAGCAACACTGCTATTTGTGCACAAAACCAAACATAGCTGTACGATTACTAAAGAAGGCTGGGCATGGTCCCGCTGTGCGGAGCCGAGTCCGTCTCTCGCCGGACAAGCTTCGACTGGCCATCTGGCGTACTGGGCATTTTCCCCGTGGGCTTTTGGGTTTGTGGAATAGTGAAACTCATCATGAACAACACCCCCTGCTCAGCAAAATTTATTGTGGGGGACCCCACCCCCCGGGATCGGGCAAAGGTCCAGGGCTGGTTTTTAATCCCGGTCCACCCCTGAGCTGGGGTCTGGGACATAGCCTTTAAAACCCATCTCTCATTACTTAATATGAATTAATTTTAGGCATGTCCGCCATTACATGAATTGCCATCATTTAAAAATCTAAATACTTGATCAAAACAACAGTCCATAACATTTTTATTTCCAGACTGCACCGTTATAACAGGCTACCGTCTCTTAATTAAATCCAGGAGAGCAGCACTTTCAAAGCAACCTATAATTACAATTAAAGAATTTCAAATGGATTTTTTTCTCCCAGCTAAACGGGCGCATCAGCGACGGGACCGCAGGTGCGCAGACTGCGGGACGCCGCCGTGATGTGCGGCTCACATGCCCTGAGGGGGGAGTGACCGGACCGAGGGACCAACACTCACCGGTGTACGGTGCCTTTAAATGAAAACACAATCCGGACGGGAGAGGAATATGGAGGAAACAGGGGGTCCGAACACTGAGCGACAAAATATGCATTAAGTTCTTTATTTAAGTAGGGGGTAAAATGCGCGTTTCGTACTAATGATTTGAATGAATAAAAGTGCCCTGTGGGTCCCGTCGGGGGAGGCATGGAGAAGAACGGGATTGATAAAACATTTTCCAAGCCGGATCGCGGGAAGGCGGCGAGAAACGACGGGACAGGCGAGTCCCGCAGCCCGGCGTCGGCTCCAGGCGGCGTCCCGGCCAGCCGGGGCGCGGATGTCAGAGGGGCGCCGGGGAGCGGCTCCCCTGGGCGGCAGGCTGACCCGCGGCGTGTGGAGGGGCTGCTGCGCAAATACACCAATTTGGTCCAGGGCTGGCAACACAGGTAAAGGACAGCGAAAGCGGCTCTCTGCTCCGGGCGATTAGTGAAAGTGAATGTTACTATGGTTTCTTTCAGCTTCTGCTGGGGAAGCACGTTTATTATAGTTACATTAATATTAGACTATATTCTAGCCTATATATACAATATTGCGTATTTTCCGAAGCGGCTTATCAAACACGATCATACATTTGAAAATTAAAAACATTCGTTTGAAATCAAATCACAAACATACGATTTTAATTAAAATATGTGTCCCCACCCCGATTGGACTGCAGTAGCTATATTGGGCGAGTATCAGGAAGTGTGGTGAGGCAGTGATGTCGGGCGTTTTGGGAGGTTTTCATGACACAACTTTCTGTTTAGTACCGGTTAATGGAGAAATAAATCAATTAGGCAGGTGCTCTTTTCACGGTATGATCACTGATCTGAGATCTGTGGTTTTTATAAAGCGAAACGCAGTTTCGGAGAGACGGGCATTTCTTTGGCTTACCGCCGCAAACCCTTATTTATTAAGAATCTGAATCTTGTTTAGGATAGAGATTGGTGCATTGGATGTATGCATACGATTTGTTGCTTGTAAACCCGTAATCCGTGCATTCATAACAAAAAAAAGTGAGCTTTTTCTATAACTTAAAAACAACAAAGTTTGTTGATCAAACATTACGAACATTAACACTGTTGCACAGGCCTACCAAATTCTTCCTGCATTGTCTTTTCAGCATTATAAAATATGCAGTGAAAGATCAACTGAGGATTATATTATTTTAATATCTGAAACCAATGCAGGGCTGCAGGTGAAGTCGCCTTGTTATTGTGATGACCCAGCAAGCTCTGTCATCATGGTGCTGGAGGACCTGTCTTTAGTGATTTTCGGTTTCCAGGAGGATGCTGTCAGGATGGGATGTGGAGTCTGCAGAAGATGGGGATGTAAATCGATTGGTCGGATCCAGGCAGTGTGTGTTGTGACCCATCGTACCCCAGCCAGTCCTGGCCTTGGTTGAACCTCAAAGCTCACCTCTCCTCTCCCTTTTTGCCAGTCCATTGTCCAGTGTTCTCTGCTTCCTCACCTTCCCATCCTCATCCTCGCTTCCTGGTGGAGCTGGAAAGGCCGCCCCACCTTCCAGTCCCCTGTTAGAAGCTTTAGTGCTTTAATTTTTGTTCCTTTTTAAAAAATTAACAGTCTGCCTTATGTAAGCATTTCACTGTAGTAAACATGCTGGCACGTACTCTGAAGCTGCAGCCTGGCCCTGGAGCTGGACAGCCGTCCCAGCCAGCCAGTGACCTGCCACAACCTGGCCTTCATCTCAGGTCTCAGGGAGATCCTTTCAGCCCCCGTAACGTCTCCGGTGTCTCAAACGTCTCCCCTAGCTATGTGAGCCAGATCCTGCCCTTTGCTGCGTAACCCAGCCTTTGCCTTCTAGTTATGGGACAAGTCTGTGTCCCCAGAAGACACAACATTGTGCTGTGACTTCCTGGGATTCGACTAACAGTGTCCCAGTCTGCAGTCCTAATCCCAGCACCCTGTCAACTTTCTGACTCGCCTCATATGAAGCTGTTTGATTCATTACTTTATAATTTTTTTAATTCCCTTTAGTTTTTAATTATGTTGTGTGTGTGTGTGTGTGTGTGTGTGTGTGTGTGTGTGTGTGTGTGTGGGATGTAGTACCTTTCTTCAGCCACCGGGCTTGGAGTTAAACTTCTGCATATTACAGATGATCACATGTTGGTTATATGTCAAGTAGAGAGCCGGAGGCAGAGCCCGTGGACCGCTAAGAACACAGCACACGGTCTGGCAAAAACCAGCGTTCAACAAAAACCACATGCGTGTGCTGTTTGGGTCATTCGGATAATCATGTTTGCTAAATCACCCTCCTTCATCTAGCAAATTTATTCTGGACGACAGGCCAGCAGGGGGAGTGGTGGTTAATCAGAACATGTAACCTGAATTTTGCTGGCTTACGTTCTACTCTTGAGTAATATGCAGAACTTTAATTGCTCCAGTAAAACAGTACATATGAGTACTGTGGCTGCACTCCACTGTATACACCATACTGGCAATGGGGCAGCATTAGCCAAAAGACAGTGGCATCACATGGCAGTAGTTCATTGGCCTGAGCGATAATAATCGTGCTTTGGAGAGTTTTGCTGAGTGGAGCTTGATATTCTGCCAGCGGGATCCGTCGCTGTGAAGTTTTTATGGCGTCAAAATGGATTGGACTTTCATGAGGAAGAGAAGAAGGATGGGGCTTCCTGCTTGGGAAGACTGTAGAAGCTGCGTAAAGATTCAAGCTAAACGCTCAGTGGCTGCGTGTAAGTTTCTTCTTGAAATGTTTCCGATAAGCTGCAGAGTAACCAGCTGTTTCCCCCGAAAGTGAGATGTGTGGAAAAAGGGCGACTGGGAAATAAAGTGTCACGCTGTCGACGGATAATTGCCTGCGATTGCGTCTCGGTTTCCAAATCCAAAACACTTCCTGTCAGCGGAATCGTTTGTGTGGAACTGGCGGCCTCGCTTTGTGTTTCTGCCGTCATAGAGGCTTCGTCGGATGGGATGGAAGCATAACAGTCACATTATTAGCGAATTTTAACCCGAAACCCTACCTCGTAATTCTTCACCAGAGATATCGAGAGATTCTCACATCGGTGCACTTCAGAACCAGCAGTACAGAACGGACGTCTCCAGTGAACTGAGGGCCTTGTCTGGACTCTTTTGAAAGCACAACATACAAAGCTGTCTTATCTCATTTCCCCCACCCAATCTTCTTTTGAAATGTATTCTCGTTATTTTTTCTTGTCCTACAGCTATTTTTCATCAACATCAGTAGATGTTTATGGAATATATTTCCCTGAAATGGTGTCACATATTTGTGTCAAAGCGCTAGTTGTAAAATTAACAATGAGCTGCAGGCTGTGATTCTTTGGCGTCAGCTGTCTGGGGACCGTTGATATAGTATTTCTGACACGCTCAGTGGAATCCGGGTATAGTAATCACAAATTTATTTGTTCCTTTACTGACAGTGTTGATTTATGTCATGTGACTGTGTTCTTGTAGGAAACAAATCTTTTGTTTAATGGGTAGCACTGCGGTCGTTCTCCCCCTGAGCCTGTCAGTCCAAACCCAGCTCTGTGTACAGAGGTCGACTTTTCATTCCACATTCATCCCACTGCTCAGCGTGAAGCTGCCATTCACACCAGCGTGACTCCTTACTGGTGCCATGTCCAGACTGGTCTTTTGCTGTGTGCCTGTGTTGGATTGGTTGCGGTAGATCAATGTTTCCCAATCCGGTCCTCGCGGACAGTCCACTCCCAGCTGGGAGGGAGCAAAAACGTGGACCAACTGTTTGTCCCCAAGGACCAGACTGGAAAACACTGGTGGTAGATGAATGTATTGGGGTTTATACAACCGCCTTCATCTTACAAACTGCATTAAAGGTTTCACTGCATCTGTGGTCATTTGTTGTCATCGGTGTTAGCAACCAGAATATTGCAGGTTTAAATACCAAAAGGGTGTTTGCTGTCAAATCCTCAAAAAGGTATTTGGCCTCAATAGAAAAAAAAAGCTGCAGTATAAATGTGTAAGTTAGGTGTGAGTGTGAGTGTGACTGAGGTCTCCTCCCTCCCCTATTGCTCCAGGTACTTTGTGCTGGACACAGACTGTGGGCAACTTCACTACTTCGTCAGCGAACCTGGGGAGGGCCAGAAGCCGCGGGGTTCGCTCCCCCTGCCCGGGGCCACAGTGTGCCCCAGCGAAGAAGCTCCCCACACCTTCACTGTGGTGTCTGCTGCCGGCGAGTTCTACAGGCTCCGAGGTACAGGCCCCCCCATCACAGGCCCCCCCATCACAGGCCCCCCCATTACAGGCCCCCCCATCACAGGCCCCCCCATCACCAGGCCCCCCCATCACAGGTCCCCCCATCACCAGGCCCCCCCATTGCCAGGCCTGGCATCACCGGCGCGACCTCAGTCTCACCCCCTGTAAATGGGTTTGGATAAAAATATCCTCAGTGTTGCTAAAACGTAAAAGCCGTAAGGAGTGTGCAGTCGGCTTTACCTCCTTCTGGGCGCCTAGGAGCCTCTGTTCTGTAACACAGATGGGGGATCCGGAGCCAAAGGGTCTCTCAGAGATACTGTAACTCTCCATAACCCGTTTACTGAGCTGAAAAGCAGTGGCTTAAGGCTTGGGGCTGGTATCGGAGATTCTGGGCACGTGATCGATTTCTGATGATTGTTTGTGTGTCGGCGATTGTGTGCTTTAGCGGACTGTGTAGTTGAGGGGTCTTGTCGTCTTGACCCTCTGAACCTCATCTGACATTTTCAAACTTTGATTTGCTCTGGGTCAGCAGGGCCTCTGGTTGGTTAATTGGATTTTGAGCCTGTGGGCTGTTTCCAGTGAATGGGGGCGTGGGTGGCGGGGGGCGGCGGCTCACTGGATGGGGCTAGTGTATGCATAGTTGTAATGCGCAAGAGTGCTACAGGAGATAACTACACTGTGAGCCTGAAAGCAGTTGTCATGGAAACCGTTTCTTTGTTGAAAGATTGAGTTGACTTTTCCCGACTTGTGTGTTGTTTTCAAAATTTATCCAGTGTCATTCATTAAAGGAAAAGGCTATTGAAAGTTTTACATCCCTGAGCACTAAGTGGTTGATTTCATTGTCTAGTCCTCATGTTTCGGTCACCTGATCAGTATCTGACCAATGGCTGGACACTGCTATATGATAGCGCTAATGCTGCTTAAGATTTCATGGCCATCAGCCCCAATATAAGCTGTTAGGCTTGATGCATCTTGAGCATTTAGGTGGATTAGATTCTCGGTCTCCATTGAGCAACAGGCTGTTGTACTGGGCAAAGCCAATATGTGTGTCTCCTGTGATGTGATAGAGGATGGAATAGCGATGAATGTAACCCCTAACAACATCCGAAGGGGTTCTTAAACCAGATATAAAGCCAATGGCACAGACAGGTTGATCACAATCAGGGTGAGGGATGGGAATGGAGTCTTGGGAACTCTAAGGAGAAAATAAAATTTATTACAGATGATTAAAGTTGTGCTCTATCAGGTCTTCTGAATTGTGAAATTGGGGAAAAACATCCTGGCTGAATGTCAGGTCAGTGAATGACCTTTAACCTTGGAGGCGCTGTTTGTAAAGAGGGCCCTCCGAGGTCTATTTGCCCTCAGATAGAGCTCTTGGGAGATTTACTTACACAAGGTGGGAGTAACCAATCAGATGTTTTGGTTCCGCCTCCTCTACAATCTGATTGGTTATCAGTCTGAACCAACCATTGTTCCTTCAGAACATTTTTGTGTAAGTAAAACTCTCACGAGCTCAAACTGGACATGTTGCCATGTCATCTGAACTTTTGAGGTGAACCTCGCAGTGATTTCTGTGAAGGCAAAATCGCAATGGCTCAAAATGACCTCGTTCTCCCGCACCACAGCAAGATTGTGTCTGTGACAGTTCCAGTCGACTCCCTTTTAATTACTGCTCATAATTTACTGCAATTAATGAACCATCAGTGATAATAATCGTGACCAAATCGGCTCCGAGCGTGTACTCATTCTGCCTCGGGGGGCTATAGTAATTGGTGAAGTTTTGTTACATTCAGCAGAGAAGATTCTAGGTTCAGAGTCCCGTGAGTAGATGGAGCTGCAGAATACTCTGAAAGGTGAAGGTCTTTCACAGAAGGTCTTGCTCCAGATGGAAGGCCTGTGATTGCTGATGTGCTCCTCCCAAGTGCACGCGTGTGCGTGTGCGTGTGCGTGCGTGTGTGTGTATGTTTGACAGTCCTCCCTTGACTCTCCCCTCCTCACTGACGTGTCCTTTGGTGTCTCCAGCGGCCAATGCCAGAGAGCAGCATTTCTGGATGAACCATCTCCTGGCCTCCACCAGGTGGCACTCTAATGGAAGCACTGAGGTATGTGGGGGGTGGGGGCTCTCTGAGGATAAATCCATTCAAACCAGAGTGAGTCCAACCAGGTGATTGTTGGTTTAACAACCGGTTTCTTTCAGTTTCTTTCTGAAACCTTCTGTATACTCAAAGACTTGACCTTTATGTGCGTATGGGGGGGGGGGGGGGGGCTGCCAAGGGCCCTTGAATTGTGGTGGTAGTGGTGGTGGTGGTGTGGGGGGGTGGGGGGGGGGGGGGTGGGGGTTTCTTCAGTGGAAATTCCACACCTGTTTGTAAGCTGGCTCTCAGAACACTTTTGGGTGGGGGCCCTTCTCGTTTCTTATGGGCTTCTTTACGGCCTTCGCTAGAACATTCCGTGCCCCCCTGCTTTGCCACGATCTGCTTCCCCCAGGCTGCCGCTCGATTGCTTGCTGAAAGAGCCAGATGGAGTTTTTCCACGTCAGCTGCCACGCGTTAATTGCATCTTAGAGTTCCCTGCATCAGATCTCATTATATTCCTGTGAACACGTGACCGCCTTGACCTCAAACAGCAATTGCTCAGGCGTTTTGTGATATATTTTAATGAGGAACAATGTATTGGAATGGGTAATGTGCAGCTAAACATCATAAGGCATTCTAATAGAGTAAACGTCACATTTTTAATGCGGGGGACGCCGTCTCTCTCAGGAGTGACAGGTGATTGTGATAATTTCGTTCTTGTTCCAAATATTTCTGGCATATAGCATGTGCAACAATCTTAAACAGTCAAAGAAAACGTTTAAGGCTGTTTATCTGGGTAATAAGTGAATATTTGCTAAGAAAAAAAACACAATTTTACATTAGAACATATGTAAATCGACAGCAACTCATTAAAAGCTGAACAAGAATTTTAAATAGCTCTATGGGTAGTGGTTTAGTCAAAAATATACGTTGTTGCGTTGGACAGTTGATGCAAATACTGGGGTGATTTTAGGAGAGGTTTTGAAATGGCTGGCGCACTTTGATAGACATAATATTTTTTTTTAGTTTTATGCCAACATGAAGATAATTTAAACACCATCTTCTCTGGCTGCACTTCTGCACGGTTCTGCATTTGCTAAATGTCTTTCTCTCCCCACCCAGCCCAAGCCACTCTTAGCAGCAGAGTGTCTTTAGAGAAACATACTTACTGTTTCCCTGTTGAAACAGCACCATATCTGTCATGGTGTGTTGAGCCCACTCTTCCCTGATCCTCTCTTCCCCCAAAAAGAAAAAAAAAACCCTCCTTAATAACCCAGCCATTTTGTACCCAATTCCCGTGTCGAATGGTTCTGGTCGGCCTCCGACCCGTGACGTTCACATGGTGAGTAATGAAAACAGTCGGGGATATGAAAATAACACAAATATTGAACAAGTAATAAAACAGGCACTGTATCTCTGGAGACCAGAAGTTCTAATGAAATATAGAGGCTTTCATGTTCATGGCAGTCAGTGGAACATACCAACTACCTTGGTGGGGGGGCATGTGATAACGCATCAAAACTGGGGTACTGTCCACAATAATACAAGTCTAAAAATGGTCTGTTTGCACATTTGGGGATTAAATGTCTTATGACGTGTCAGTCATAGAGCCGGCTGGTCTTTCACTACGTAATGCAGCTTGGTCTGTTCCTGTCTCTGTCTGACATTCACCCCACACGGTAATGAACCACCCCTTTTCAGGATATCATTGTTAACATCCATCCATCCATCCATCCATCCACATTCCAATCAATTTTCCTGCACAGGGTCATGTGACTGTCATTACTAGCTGCTCTTAATTGGATTTGTTTGTATTGATTCTGCAGGATTTTTTTTTCTAAAAAGATGCTACACGGATGCTTATAATTCATTTTTCAATTATAGGTTTTGCAGTAGTACTAGATTCCTATTAATTGCATCATGCATTTTTATTGTATCTGATATGGGTGTGATTTAGTGGGTGATTTATGTCTGCCCTGGTTGGTCCTTTCAGGTTAAGTGCACATTTCTTTAAAGAGGTTTCTTTCCTCCCCCCGTTTTTTCTGTAGAATGCTGTGACCCCTGGTTTTTTTTTAAATCATCTTTCCTTGCTGAGGGAGTGACCATCTCCTTCACACAGTGGTGACATACCACTGACAAGATGATCACACACCTGAGTCACCTCTCACGGTCGTCACTGGCTGTGTCAGCTTTGCTATGTGTATTCATTCTTAACCTGGTCCCACTCAAACCATAACCTCTGCTTGTTTCTGGTCACAGGTGGGAAAATGGAAGCATCCTGTTGAGCACTCGTATGTAGAAAGAACACACATCGGCCAGGATGGACAGGTGACTGGTATTTATCTTGCACGCCTGAGCAGCAGTGATGGAAAGGATGAGCTTTCCGGACGATGGGCAGGGCTATTGTCAGAACCCACTTCTCATTGGCTGTGTTATTTGAACAGATAGTGATTGACAGTGTGTAGTCATTCCGCCTACTATGGGATTTGAGGTATCCCGTCCGCCCTCATCACCAAGACCCACGTAGGTATCTGTGGGCAGGATGCTGGGAGCCCTACTGGTGTGGGTGCAGAACTAGTCTCCCTTAAACTCAAGACAATAGTCATCAGGAGGCATTTTTTGCATCTTAAAGTGTCTGGTTTTGTAAAAATTTGTCGCACGCAAGAGCTCATCTGGAGAGAACATGGTATTAAGTCTTATCTTTATTGCAAGCTACAAAGATGCGTTTAGGCTGAAGACCCTTGTTTGCTCTGGGGAATTAGGGTTCATTGGAGTGTAACCAGTGTTTAAAACAGCTGCTTCCCCAGGGCTCGTCCTCCCCAGGTTGGCCCGGCAGCCTCACGCTTCTCACGGCTGGCTCCCCCCCTCCCGGGATTCTGAGGCCACCGTCCGCCTCGGCAGTGTCCCGGGGTATCGTCACCATCATCCACAACAAGTCGCCCGACTCCAGGAACCGGTACTCCCGAAGGCTGCAGGAGGTCCAGGAGGTAGGCTGGGCGGGGGGGTAGGCGGGCACGGAGGCGTGGCAGGCCCTTGGCAGGCTGGGCCGGGGGGTAGGCGGGCACGGAGGCGTGGCAGGCCCTTGGCAGGCTGGGCCGGGGGGTAGGCGGGCACGTAGGCCTCTTGTCTTACGTAAATGCAAGCATTTAAAAACTAGCAAGCTCCTATGCTGATCAGATTTTCCAGCCCCAATCCTAGAATTAACCTATATAAACAGGTCTTGGGTCTGCAATTGCTTAGCACAAAACTAGTGAACACTCAACCAGTCCAAGTAGCCAAACCACAGATGTGTAATTTAAAATTCACTGGTGCATCCAATCAGATTTGTGCGATAGGCATTGATTGCTGTAAATTGCAGAGTGCACTGCATGCTTGATCATAGCATTAATTTAAACCTATACTTGACAGAGGGTTCTGACTGAGCTGGCAGGGTAAAAATTGGGTCGGGGTACAAAAAAAGGTTGAGAACCACTGTTCTATAGTACATATTACTAGTCTGTTTTTGGTTATAAGGTGTCTTGAGTGGTATGAGATGGTACAAAATTTGCCTTGTGTAAGGGTTTGTGCAATGGATTACTTAAGTCAAGAACTGTATAGTCATTAAATGCACATGTGTAGATCTGTGTATGCTGCTGATGTGTAGAGCTGCTCTGCATGCCGTAAATCTGTTGTGTGTATCAGCGATGTCTAGACGTAGCCGGGCCATGAAAGATCTGCGTTTTTGCTGTCCCTTCCTCTGTCACCATAAATGTTAAATTAGCACTAGCAAGTATTTTAAAATATAAACCAGTCAATGAATATTAAGACACCTTTTTTTTATTTTTGGAATTTCCACTGTCAAAGTCATTAATATTCATTAACATCCAATGTCTCAGCCCTGATTGGCTGATGGTACCACGGTCCTGAAAAACGCTGCACGGCCATAAATGAACAGGCATGTTTGTTAGCCAGGGTGGAGCGGCCGGGCCTGTGAATGTGTGACTGACTGATACTGCTGGGAATCCCAGTCCCCAGCCTGGGATAAGAGGCTAATTCCCACTTGCTGGTGTGACCCTGAGCTGCTCGTTACATATGTAGTTGCATCACGAACTTCCTTATGAAGGCATAAGAAAGGATTAATAATTCTTTGATGTTATGTCTCTAATTTTATTCTGGATTGCTGTCGCATATTTCATTTTTCTTCACTTAAAAGGAATATTTAATTATATTTTAATTTGTTTTTAAATTAAATAGCTAGTCTGTTGCAACCATTTTTATTTAAGCAATGAGTTTACCACTGCAAAACAAACGTCATTTGAGTTACCATGGAAATAGTCATACTTTATGTTTTCATATCAGCTACTATGAGCGAGAATTTAATGAGATTAGCATTTAATGATAAGTAACAAATGATTAACTACAGTTGTTTGGTGTGTGTTTATGTACTGATACATACTATGAAACAGTATTATAGTAATAATAAGTATATCCACATCTGTTGATCACATCTCTCTCACTGTGGTCATGTGACTGTCTGGTTTCGTGCTTCCAGGTCATGAACCAGGCCGAGGGGAAGCAGAAGAGTCTGGTGCACTGCATAGAGTCGCTGCCGACCTGCGGGCCGGTATCCTGCCTGGACCAGGACCTGCTGCTCCTGAAGGCCACCTCTACTGCCACACTGGACTGCCTGGGCGAGTGTCTGAGCATTCTGCAGCAGAGGGCCTCGCAGGCCGGTCCGCCTGGCCCACCCTCCCTGGGTGGAGCCCCGCCTACCCCGGGCCACGCCCCGCCTACCCCGGGCCACGCCCCGCCTACCCCGGGCCACGCCCCCCCCTTCGGTGAGTCGGTCCCGGATGCCCTGTTGTCCGGCCCCTTGAGCTTCGAGGCGACCAGCCTCGCGAGTTCTGACCCCAGCGACGGGCACCTGGAGATAAAATGTGACTCGTGTCCCTGTTTGTCTGCACCTATGCAACTGAGTTTATGCAATAAATGCTGCTGAAAGCCAAAGCCAATACTATTATTTTTACAGTCCCTGCTGTCCTTCTACATTTTATTTTCTCAGTGCCTTGCATTTCGAAGAGCTCAAAATTCTGTGGCTCTTTTTTGGGGGGGGGAGTGGGATGACTGATATGTTTTACAGCTCAATAATGTTTACAAGCAAAGAGTAATGTGTGCAGCTCTGTTCAGTGCATGCAGGCAAACTGATGTCCAGCGTGAGTATTTCCTTGTATGTGCAGATGGACTGTGTTCATGCCACAGAAAAGACAAGACGGTGCCTAAGGCCTGACCTTTCTGCCATGTTCACTCTTCCTGTGCCAAAGTGGAACAAATAAAGACCTCCTGAAAGCAAAAACTGTAAGATGAGTTCTGCATGTTTTGACAGACATAGCCCCACCCAGTGGTCGGAGGACTGTACTGCAGGAATTCGAGGAACATGCCCTATGTCCCAGTTGGGCAAGGCCTTTTTGTGTTATTAATCCTGCCTTGGGTTCTGGGGGACAGAGTAAGGACATCCAGGTGCACGACGGACTGCTGCCTGTCTTGTCTGATCAAGGTGGCTGATTGGTTCCTGTATCTCAGGGCATCTCTCCCATAGACGCGACCAATCTATGAATGCAAAAGAAGGATACAGATGATATTTCTGATGGGATGAAAGACTTCTCTGGTGCCTTCCCATCTCGTGCTGGTGACGTTATGCAAAGATCCATGTTTTTTTCCCCCAGTTCCGCTCCAGCCAGAACTGGTGAAAGTCACCGTTCAGATTTCTCATCCCATAATTTCATTCTGCCTTCAAAACGGACATGTCAGACTCATCAGCCGGCCCGCTGGGGCTTGCCTGCTCTTCAGGAAGTCCTCAAGTGTGAAGAGTTTGGTTTTGGTTCAAGATTTTGAAATCTCCTACCAGGTAACAGGTGCCCCGATCACATGCACCTTGCCCTTTGGAATAAATGCATAGTGGGAATTGACTGCACTCTGAGGGCTTTCCCGAATATGATTGGGTAATTTGAGTGGGAGGGTCTGTCGACACAGCCAATGAGGAGAGGTTAAAGGTGTGGCATAATACAGTGCATGTTTGCTTTGTTTGTCTTATTAGCATGTCACTCTCATTCATATTACTGTCCAGGCCATCCTGTTAAATTATGTGTTCATTTAGCCTTGTTGAAACAGCAACAGTATCATCACCCTGACGTTCTTGTTTGCGGTGGTCTAGCGCAAAATGTTAATTTAATAGTTTCACATCGTTTCCTGGTTGTGGATATCAGACGTGCAGCATGACAGGAAGAGACCAGGTTGGGATCGTAATGCTCACTGCGATGTTGCTGTGGCTGATATTTACTTGGTACAAGTGCAAGTGGCAGTTTTTTTCCCCGCAGATTGTGCAGAGAGAAGCCACTCTAGATTAAATGAGATTTTCTTTGAGTGTGATAAATGTGCAAAATGACTGTTTTGTTTGGCATAGAAACATGCGGGGAATGATCACAAACGGCAGCCATGTCAGGTTAATGCTCAGGGACTCGCCCCCAAAACACTGTCTCAGTTTTAGCTCTGGGAAATCAGCCTGTGCTGTGATTCGCCGCCTTGCCTGCCGTCTTCATGCTGTCTGAGCTCCACAGTCTGCATGTGAAAAACTCCCAGGAGGCCGATTGAGAACCAGGCATAGATATAGCACCCCCCCCCCCCCAAAAAAAAATATGCGTGTTCTATACAGACCGTGAAAGTGGACCTGAACATGAACCCGTACAAGCAGTCAAGATGGATGGAAAATACAGCTGGTTTGTGAGGAGAAATGTGAGATTCATTTCTCCCCATATTCATTTTTTGATGCCGAATGTGATGCTTATTCCTGTGTGTATGTTTTGATGCACAGTGTATTCTGTGGGCCCTTCCCATGTGACCTGGCACCCTACCTCTGACCCAGGTCCAAAGGTAGACAGCACATGACACACAACTTAGCTTTAAGTGACTTTAACTCCCGAGCTCGACAGTTCTGCCGGACGTCAGGCCTGGTTCATCTGGGTTTTAGCCAGGAGGAGATAAATGCTGTTTTTTGTGGGTGCTGTTATGAATTCAGACTTTGGTCTTGCTTGTCTTTAGAAGGACATCTTGCACTGTGAAGGGAAGCGTGTTCACAAACACACCTTTGGTGTCATTATTAGCATCTGCCTGTATTAGACCTGTGTTATGTCTGATCATATTTCATGCTCCTATCAGTACTGAAAATGTCTGGAGTATTAAGTTCAGAAGAATGTCTGTGAAATTCCCTTTCGTTGCCTTGTTTTGATCTGCTGTGCACTGGGGGAGGAAATAAATAACTAATCTCCACTAGCAGTGCTTCCTGTTTTCACCTCGGTGCCTTAGGCTGGGAAATGGTTGCTTGATCACATGACCTGTCGAAGAGTGCTTGGTGCTTTGCTGGGACGCGGTGCAGCTGGATGTGAGCCACAGTGGGGAGTTTGTGCTCCTAAGGAAGGCCTCCTGCTTTGGCTCCCATCCCTGCTGGCTGAACATGGCAATCGAGTTTGATGTCTGGCACGTCAAGGTCGTCATCCTCCATGAAAACCCTCCCAACTGAATGAAGATCAATTTTGACCTGCTGCCCTGTACTCGGCCTGCAGGTGGTGTACATTGTATCGGATGAAGAGCGCCTGATTGACACCCCTGACTTCCACTGAGCTCTCTGCTGCCCCCTGGAGGATGAGCTTAATCCGAAAGGTGAGATCCGTGTTTCTGTTTTGAAACACTGTCAGCCTTGAAATTTGACTCCATAAAAGCAAAGCTCTGTGGTCCATCCCGTGACGGCCCTTCCTGTGATATTTAACAGCCGGACTCCCAAGGGCACCGATTGTAATTTACGCTCTGTTGTCAGCCTTTACAAGCAGCAGGCGCCATTGTCCACAGAGACGTACAGCTAATGAAACAGCCTTAGTGACAGCTGTCAGAGAGGAGGTAAGAATTAAGTCTGCATATATTACACAGCTGGAATCCGTCTAAGGCTTAGGGATGTTATTAGGGTTAGGGTTAAAATTAGGGTTAGGGTGGAGATTATAGTTAGAGCTAGGGTTTACCCTATTAGGTTCAAACTCGGGTTAGGTTTCCAAACTAGCAACCCTAAGGGTAACCTATTAACAAGGGCACCCCGAACCCTAGCACATACTGTAATCCCAGATCTAGCCCGAGCTCTAGCAACCCTAGCTGTAGCTTTAAGTCTAATCCTAACCCTAACCCTAATAAATCTGACTGCCAGGAGTCCCAGTTAGCATTAGCACAAGTTTGCTAACCCTAACCCTAATAAAAAGCCTAACCGTGGTTCTAACTCTTAAGATAGTGAGGTTTTCAGACTTTTCTTTTCTACTATTTCTCCTGCCCCTCCCCCCAAGCCGGCCACACACTGCCTGTCTGTTTTGCACATTTTAATCATTGTTTTAATCATAATTTGTTAGCATCGAATAATGTGTACAGGCATGTAATCTATCATTCTTAACATTTCTAAAGGTTGCCGTTTCGAAATACCCCCCCCCCCCCCCCATATTAAACTCCCCACACAGCTTTGTTATTTTCAGTGTTGGTATATTTCAGTTTTGGTGTCTTTTACGAATGAACGTCTGTGAAACCATTTGAACTGCAGTTTATTTTCTGTTATGGTGCAAGAAAATTTGGATTGGGTTGCATTATGTAGTGCGATAAAATTACTAGCTAGCTAATGTAATCCAAGTAGCTGGATATAGTTGAAACCTGTAAATGTTTTTTAGATATAACTGCAGCTGTCTGCGACCATAACGTTTACACAATGTGAACTTTTTTTTAGAAAAAAAAATGATGGGGCTTTTGCCATGGTTTCTGTCGTTTTTTGCTGCCTTGTCAGATTTTGCTACCATAAACAGAAAATGCTACTGTGGCATGAAGCACATGACACAATGATGGTTAGTGAAATATTTGAAACAGCAATTATATCAGTTTTAGTCCTTGATGTACGTACAGCTGAGTCTTTGTCATTAATGCCAATCAAACTAGTCAAAAGTTAGATATTAGCCATGGATAACTTTGCTAAAATATATGAAGTTTCTGAAGCTCATCTTGGTATCTACAATGCAGTGGCCTTGGTACCCCCAAACGACCACTGGCAGATATGTCACAAAGGTGTTTTAAGTCTGATTTAAAAGCTCTTTTTGCAAGATGAATTACTTCCACATTAAAGCTGTTTCCCCGGCTTGTGGTCAGTATATGGCTGACGTGTTCGTCGCTGCGGTAACTGCCTTGACCTTTGTGGTGTCCCTCTCAAAGTGTTTGCTTGACTCGCCGACTGGCTGGAACCGAACTCCCACGCGTCGGCTGTTTCCTATATAGGTACCATGCCGATCGGGCCGTTCTTATCAGGGGTTTGTTTTGCGTGGATTTTGATACCCTCTGCATGACTGGAGAGTTTTACCATAACTATGAGTTTTGAGAAGATTTTATGTAGCTACGACTGGGAAAAAAAAGTTTTTAAAACTGTTGGGTTATCTGTACAAGGTCTCGTATTGGGCATATTCGGCTGACACACATATTTTTACATACTGGTGAAGATCCACCTGTATCCTGCATGTAAAACTCCTATAAATGTTGAGCACATTTCGTTGCGTTGTCCTTCTTATAACTGTCTTCTGCAGATTTACCAATTTTACTGACTCTCTAACAGAGGATTTTAGTAAGTTTAGATTTTTAAGTCAAGCCTGATGCTTTTTTAAATTATATCAAAAACTAGTCTTAAGCGTCGTATTTAGATTGCTTAAGCATCGTATTTAGATTGCTTAAGCATCGTATTTAGATTGCTTAAGCATCGTATTTAGATTGCTTTAACTGTTTGCAGCATTTTTTAGTTAAGTTTTTACCTTCTTGATGGTTCAGTCTGTTTTACTATCCATACGTTCTCACCATAAATAGAGCACAAGTTGCTGCCGTGGTGTTAAGTCAGCATAACTAACTAAGATTGAAAAAAAGAGATGAACACATTTAAAAGTATTGTGTCAGTTAATTTTCAGGCTATGAAAAGTGAAAGGCTTCTGTAGGCTGGCTGTGATTTTGGCTCCGGGAGTCACGGCGCTTTGCCAGGTGATGCAGTCGCCTCAGCCTGCAGGCTTTCGGGTTCGAATTCAGCCTCTGCCGTCTGGGGGCTGTGCTTGTGTGTTTTTAAGCTGTTTCTGCGGCTTTCTCTGGTTTTCTGCCGTCTGATTGAAAGCCAGCTGCTGCCATCAAGTTGGTCGTATGAGGCGACCACACACAGAAACGTGCCATACGTTCCAGGCAGCTCTGATTGGATGAGGAGTTATTAAAAGTGGTTGTGATTGGCTGTCAGTCAGCTGACAAAGGCTATAAGGCCTGACACGCTGGTCAGGGCATAGTAAAACTCCACTGTGGGATTAATAGCTCGTTATATGGCCGACTGGAGCTGTAACCAATTAAGCACTCGCCCTGAAACCTCGACGCAGCGGCGATCGCAGCCGAGTGGGCAGCAGACAGACCTCCTGCTCACGCTGCCGTGACCGTTGGCGTCGTCCCCAAGGAGACCCCCCCCCCCACACCCCTGTTTATTTGTTAATCCCACTTCCTGGTTCTCTCCTGTCAGAGTAGCAGACGTGAGACCGACTCCCCACCGCTCACAAGGGCGTCTTCATGGGCTCCGCCGCACGTCCGGCTCCCCGTGACGGTGACCTTGCCAGTTGGCCGCGGCGTCGCCGACTGCACGCGCTGCTCTCATGTCTTCGTTTTTGGCAGGACTGATTAGCCGCGGCCCCCCGGGAGATTCCCCGGATGGGCTGTCTGCGTGTCCTTCAATGGGCAACACAGCACACACTAAAGCTCCGGAATCTTCTAGGCGCATGTACAGGTCTAGATCAGCCACAGGATGGATGTAATACAGAGACTCTTCATGGTTCCTGTCTCCACTGCACTGGTCAGCTTGAGACACACTGGGCCAGCTGGGCACAAGGGAAGGTGGCTGCCCCCTTGTGGGGAGCGAGGGCATGACCTCAGCGTTGAGGCTCATCTCCTGCAGCAACTCGCAGACACATCCCCTGATTGAGCGCTGATGCTTTTTCCACTAATTAATATTTAGTTTAGAATTGTTGGGTGTTTTACTTACCCAGTTGATCATTACTAGAAGTGGTGAAAGACCAGGTGAAGCTGAACACAGTGTGATATTTAATGGCATCTATGCTGATTTTTCTACATACTCTGCATTACTGTAGGGTGGCATGGTGTCTCCTAATCACAGTTCCTGGGTTGGCTCATGGATGTTTTACTTGCACAACAGACAAGGAACTAGAGGAGGGGGGACCAAGACACCTGATTGTACAGGAGGTGGGGCTAACCAATCTGATTGGTTCTCTCTCTGAACCAATCAATTTTAGTTCTGCCCTCAGAACATTTTTGTGTAAGTAAAACTTCCACGAGCCCTGGGTTGGGGCTTTGGAATTGGGCCTTGCCTCTGTGGGTAGAGTTCCTCCGTCCCTGCACCATAGTGTAGCAGTGTGTGCATTGTAGTGACCCTTGACTCATGACCTGTGCTACCTGGGATTGGTTGCAGGCTCACTGTAACGCCATGCGGAGCAAAATGGACGATGTACTACTATATTACGCTTTATCTCAAATTCAGATTAACCTCTAATTCAGCTCACAGGTCCTACAAATTTCATTAGGGCTGCCTTACAATGCAGTTTGTTCAGCGAGGTAATCCAATTCAGCCTAATGGCCCATCTCTGTATGTCATTACGATGCGCATTAATGTTTAAATCCTCTGTGGTTTCTAATCTGCACCCCCTTCCGCTCACAGGCAGGACTAATGAGACAGACAAGGATGTAGCAGCTAATGGCTGACAGACTTGCAGGCTGCGATGATGCTCGAGGCTCGGTGACCCTGCAGACCTGTCACATATTTGTCATCGTGACTATGAACATGATTCATTCGTTTGCCAGTCACCCTGCTGTGGTTGATCTTGGTGAAGCTCAGGTTTGAATTCGAATGGTCAGATTTGGTCAGGCTGGACGATGTTTTGGTGTCACTTTGGTGGTGTTGATCATGTTTATCTTGGAGAGGAGCCCCCTGCTGGAGATGTCTGCCATCTTCATTGTGGATCCAGATGTTGTCCAGCAGTGCAGAGGGTTGTCTAATGCACTACATTGCTAGTACTGATGACTTTCTAGTCTAGTATAAGCCGACCAGAGCACCTTCAGGGATCTTCCTTCCTTGTCTCTGAAGTGGAATGTGATTCTGGTGGATCAGGGTGACTGACTCCCCCCCCTGCTTCTTGTAGGGGCATTACTGAAGCCCCCTGGCATGATACTGGAAAAGGACCAAGGGGAGTGAAGAGACCAAAGTGATTGGTTCTCTTGCTCTGTTGCCACCAATCAGATTCTAGGTAAGATGCCCAATTATCTTCAGTGTTTTGTGTTAAAGACCATGACACTATTCTTGCCTCTCAAAGAAGGATATCAAAAATAAACCGTTACTTTAATTTAACTGTATGAGGTGACCCCAACTCTCACAGCCTTTAATTCTGTGGCGGTAGGTTTTTTGATATATTTCATAATTTTTCTACCATTTCAGTATTTTACTGTAACGAAAGCAGACACACAGAATCCAGCACTTTGGTTACTGTTTCCACACAGCGAATTCACTAGGGCTGCAACTATTGATTGTTTTTATAATCAAGTATTCTCTTGGTTATTTTTACAATTGATCGATTACTTGGATAAAATATTTTAAGTGTGAGAATAAATAAAACAACTTATGTCAGCCTGGTCTTTGAACAGAAAAAAATATGTTTTCATGTCACGAAAACCAAAATTTAAGTGCACAAATGTACAAATTAGACCAAACAGTGGAATAATTGCGATCCACTCCTGTTCAGTGCATTAGCTGTCATCTGTATATACTCCTGTAAGACAGTATTTTGCCATGGTCACACCTGCTGAAAAACACTTTAATATGGAAAGTGTGCCCTGGCAGAAAAAACTGTGATATGAGACACTGTGGTTTACTGAAAAAGATAAAAATTGTATAACGTTTATTTAGTCTCTTTGAATATTGAAAGCTGGCTGTGATCAGGTCAGTGCACATAAAATATTAGAGAAAAATCTGGAGTTTATTGCACATCTACCCTGTCCACACGACAGTCCAGAATGTACAAAAATCACATTGTCAAAATATATTTTAAAATATTGCAGTCTATCAAAACTGTAAAGTTTGGGGAGCATTTCAACTTAAACTCGCGTAATGCGAGTTGTTTTTCGATGTTTGCGTTGCACGATATTTTCTTTTAATCTTAAGTTGAAATGCTCACTCGTCTCTTCCTTGTGCTCTTCCCCATTCTAATTTCCCACTTGGTGCTCCGGTTGATTTCCTCTATGCAGTCAGACTGCTGCAGTCTGTGCATAATAATTCAGTGAAGCATAAAGCAAATAATCGAGTCAGATAATTTGCCTTGAAGATTTTTACGAAACGAATTATTCGAGAAATCGTTTCAGCCCTATGACTGACCAAAACATCAAGTTCTAAAAACTGCGAGACCTTCAGGATGTCTTTATGCTGGATCCTCCATTGTCTTTCCATGCTCTTCTACAGTTTCGGGTTATGAATTGACGTCCCACTCAGTGGGTGTCCTGCTTTACATGGCAGTAATCGCTTATTGACAATGGGCTGAGAGACATGTCAGTTTCCCCAAACCATCATGTCCCAAAAACCTGTTACTCCTCCAAACTGGTTTAAATGGGACGCTGGCTTTGGGAGTTTAGTACCAATCTGCTCCTGGTGATTATATCTCCCCACCCTGCAAGTTCCCTTCTCATGAATCCACATATATCTCCCGTCTAAGGTCATGCATAAATGCAATCCTCCACGTCTGCCCGAGTCACTCCACAAAAGCAGCCCGTTTTCTAGCCTTTGACAGCTGTTAACCCAGAATGCTGCTGCTGTTGTTTTCTTTCAGAGCAGCCATTGTTAAGGCCTTTTCCACATGGTGTTCCCCAAAGCAACAAAGCAGCCACCATTTTCTGGATAAAAGCGGCAAAGCAGAGCATTAAAGGATAAAAAGCTTTTAATTAGCCGGCCTGCCAATCCAGTTCCACGGTGGAGATTAGATGTCCGACTTTAATTTGCCTCACAGATGAGGTCTAATTGCCAGCGGCGGATCAGTTCAGAGCCTCAAACCTGCATTTCCGTATTTGATGCCTGTTTAATATCAATTGCATATGTTGGTTGCAGTTTCTGTATCCTGATCTTTTTCTCTTTTTACATTTTATGACAGATATTGAGCAGAGTTTATGGAGGATGGGTGGACGGATGAGTTTTCCCTGTGTGAGAGAGGACAGTCCTCATGGCACCACGTCACCATGTGCTTGGGGTGGGTGACTTGGATTGTGCCCCAGAGCACAAGTGATACCTTAATGTATCCTGCATGCCCAGGTATGTTTAACATCCTCACTCCTGAACAGCCTACCTGATGAAGAAATGTTGCTTATGGTGTCTTTCACGTCTATGTTGGATGTATCACACTTATTTTGCTGACACAACATAGGGCCTGGTTAAGGGCCCCAACAGCAAGCCGGCCATGGGATTCAAACCCACAACCTTCTGCGCTGCTTTTCTATAGGTCATTGACATCCCGCACACAACCACCAGGTTTCACAATTTCAGAATGAAGTCTGCAACTCCAAAAATAAAAACTGACAGCAGGTTGCGCAGGAACTGAATGTGGAAGCAAAACACTTCTGACATAAGGACCCAGGGGGGCATGCTGTTGTACCTTTGGGTGGGTGCTTAATTTGGATGTTTTCAGTATAACTGGCTGCTTTTGTAATACGACACGATTGGATGGTTGGGATAAGATGTTTTCGCGTTCAGTGGGCCGGGTGTGCAAGTGTTTTCTCGTCCCTGCTGCCTGGTGGGTGCTGGGTTACCCCCCCGCGGAAGACGCATCCAGGCGAATGGGACGTCTAGTGCCCCCCCCAGGAGACATCTGGTGGCCCCGTGGGGATGGGAGAGGCGGGCCCAATGCACGAGGCGTGATGAGGAATCAGGCCACACTGCTTGGGGACTCTGTATGCGGTTTTAGGTCATACAGACGAAGCCACATAAAATCAAGCCTCTACTCTCATTTTTATTCTCTCCTCCCCTGCAACATTTCATTTAGCCTACTCCTTCACCCCCCCCCACCCCACCCCCAATACATAAGGATAAGTGAATCTCGAGGACCCCAAGGAATGCTGTGAAAATCCAGTGCTTTTTTTTTCTCCCTTCCAAGTCCTGAATTCTGCTGCAAAACAATCTCTCTTGTAAAAATGTAATAAATGCCCCAACAGTGAAATTCTGCAGACTGCGGGATTAGATCCAACAACCTTCCGATCACAGCCACAGCAGCTGAACCCACAGAGCCCCTTTAAGGTGACCTAGCTGTATCAAATTCTATCCTTACTTAGTTATAAATAATAAATAAATAAAAATCAAAACTAACCTTTAACCTCTCACACCACCCAGCTTGGACCCGAAACCCTGCAGCAGAAGGATTTCAAGAGATGTTGATTTTTTTTGTTTGTTTGTCCGCATCCCCTGCGAAGGTGCAGAGTCCCATCCAGGGTCTGTCCCCTGCGCTTCCTGGGACAGAGTCGGCTCACCGTGACCCTGGCTTGGACGAATAGTTTCAGAAAAAAGGGACTGAGGGAACGAATTTAAAATACTTCTGTCAGTCATTATTTTTATGACTTGGGATATCGGCATCGTTAAATATAAATTGGATAATTAACTTGTCTTCATTTTAATGGCTTGTTTTCTCTTAAATCATTCCAGTGGTTGGGTTTTATGAAAATAGAATGTGATTAATTTCTCCTGCCATCAGGGACACAGTGCCCCAGAGCAGACCATTTAAAGGAGCGGAATAGATGTAGTGTGACTGCTTCCCCGCCGATCCCGCTCGCTAAAGGTTTTTTTTTTTGTTAAACAATGGGAGCCATTATGGGCTGGTAAGCCACTTTCATCACTGATATAACACCGCAATCACACTAGCTGAAAAATAATCGTAACATTTTAATTTCTTTTTTTTTTGTCCGGGGAGCAGCGACGCAGTTTAATATTGAATGAGTTCTCAGGTCCCACCGAGAAACAGCACCTTACTCACAGAGCGGAGCCATGGTGAGGAATTAGCGGTCTGTGTACTGCAGGGCATTCCATCTGATACCGCTTCCGTCTTTCAGGAGCTAGCGGCTGTACGTAAACACAGATCACACGATCCACCCAAACTACGCTGATATCACCACAGAAATACAGCTGAAGACAAAATTGGTGTTTTTACACAAACCTGAAGCGTTTATTGTTTTGCACACATTTTGAACAGGACCGAACCAGGTCATCTAAACCCCAAAACAAATTTTTTTAAATGTAAACATGGATCGGGGGGTGGGGTCTCAAACATACTACCATTCATAGATAAAAAAAAGGCGGCGAGATACTTCAGCCTCCGCTGTGAACCAGAAGCCAATGGAGTTTGGAGATGGATGTGAAGGTATTTCACAGCCAGTCTGCTCAGCCACAGACTCACAGAACAAACACTTACAGGCCCAAGAGCTGCAGCACTGGGATATTTTCACAAATTAAGTTTGATATGTTACTTTAAGTGTGTGTGTGTGTGTGTGTGTGTATGTATATGTATGTATGTGTGTGTGTATGTGTGTGATGTGGGCGATCTGCTCTCGGGTGCTGTAAAAAAAAAATGATAAACAGGTGATATTAGCAAATGGGCAAACGGCTGAATAACGACGCTGACTGAAAGGCCTGTGGCTGCTAATAGACCTAAACAGAAAGTCTCTGATGCTGCCATGACATCGGTCTCCAAGGGTACAACAAAACCAGTTTGCAGCCAGGGGGCACTAGAGAGCACCTAGCTAGAGTTTCCAGGACCACAGCAAACACAGACATCCCGGTGCAGGGCGTTTATCATGATGGCAGACATCTGCACAGGAAGTGCAGAACGAACGAAAAGGACAAATGACAGCGGAAGGTGGGAGACGCTGATGGACTGAACGATGGTGGAAGGCAGGCTGGCTTACGAACCTCTAACACAAAAGGACTCCGGAGTTATGGTGCCCTTCAGCAGGGGCACTCGTCGACCAAACACATTAAATAGCATTGCCTTTTAGAGTAGCAGCAGGATCTCATTTAAATTATGGGGGGATTACATTCTTCAAACAGTTTTAAATTCCTCCCAACAGAGATTATTGCATCTGCATGTTCTTTCCACAATGTGCTGCAATATAAAACCCACTGTCAGGTAACAAAAATGTCTGGGTATTAAAACAAGAACTTAATTACCACAAAAACTCAGTATATATTATATAACCCTCTTGGACATTCCTTACATACATTTATACAATCGGAATTTTCCTTCTGAATTTTGCGTATAAAGACAAACATATCAAAATTAAAACAAAAAGGCTTAGTACAAGACTACTGTATTCATATGGAGGTCTCCATAGACACAGCTGCACCTGTATCAGGAACCAATCAATTTCTTAAAAAGGAATCACATTTACATGTGCCAAGGAGCATAAAAAAATAACAAATTAAATTAAAATCAAGAGGGCTCTTTGGTGCAGTTGCTCCCAGATCCACCGTGTTTATTTTATTTTTTTTCAATTTTTGATATCAGAATGTCCCCACAAAACGCAAGCTTTCATCCCCATTGAGCAGTACTCAGCCTCGCCACCACATTCAAGTACAAAAAAAAATACAAAAAACAAAACCAAAAAAAAAAAGTAAAGAGCAAGACAAAAAGTCCCCTCAGTAAAACCAGCAGAGCCCCCTAGAGGCCGGGAGGCATATGACCTCTCATGACCCTGCGTCGCTGAGATGCTCAGATCACAGGACTCCAGCCCAAAAAAGGCAGACACACACTTCCAGAGGTTCCAGACCATGCCCCTTGTTCTTCTTGGTTGGTGGCTTTTCCACCCGCACTGTCCTGCCAATTACATGGCCTTTTTACTCAGCCTCTTGCCTTTCTTCACAACCAGCTTGTTCCTGACATGACCACGCTTCCTCTTCGCATTCTGTGCACAAAAGCCGAAGTCAGTTTTCCTCCCCCCCATTAGTGCATAAAGGCTGCTCTCGGGACTGGACACTGCAGCCTACTGTTACCGAGATCACAACCTTCGGTACTAACCACGCCCTAATCAGTCCCACCCAGCCCACGCTGGCACACAGATGCACGGAGCTCACCGTCAGGCATGACAGGAGACCACAGTGGCTGGCTGATCTGCATTCACCACACAAACCGCACAATCATTAAACCAGTGACCTTTTTAAACCGGCACGCATTTCCACTTGTTCACAACTGGCTCTTGCGTTTATGAATCACTAAATAAGCAGGCTGCCGTCCTGCAAGATTTATACGCTGCAATATCTACACGCAAAAACCCGTTTGAGGTATTTTACACTAGAGGACCCCTCCCTGCTCACCTTCTTTGAGGTGTACTTCTGCCTGGGGACGATGTTGGTGACGCGGGGCTGCCGGCCCAGCGGCTCCCGGTTCTCCGGCTTCTTCACCTTGTAGATGCGGACGAGCCAGTGCTCCGAGGTGAAAGCTTCCTCCAGGTGCTGGAAGTGGATGTCCTTGTTTCCGATCTCCGCGTTGCGGGTCCGGTCAAAGCCGGGCGGAGTCCGGAAGTCCAGCTGCGGGGAGAAAGGGGGAGTTTGCTGGTCTGTGGGGTGGCATGAACTAGTCGTGGGGAGAGACAGTCTCATGTTTCAAACCAGTATAAATATAGCAGCTTGTACTGGGAGTGAGGGGCACTGGATTCTCAAAGACCGGAGAATAACCTATTATTTTTGCATGTAATCTTCTCTGAATGTGCATTAGACTAATAAAAAATGCTTACAGGAAAATGTTTCTCAGTACAAATCTTAATAGACCAAGCAGATGTTCACACAGCAAAGCCCCTTCAGGTCTCTCCTGCATCTGCAGGCAGACACTCAGTGCTGTTCCTTCTGCCCCAGCTGCGCTATTTTTTTGTTGTGGTTTACAGACATTTAGTCTCTCTTTTAACGTCGCCGTACTGGCTGGGGAATCGCCAGATAAAACTGGGGCCTCTGATCGATCGCTGGATTATCAATGATCTACTGTAGTTCTGCCACGCTGAGCTGGTTTTTATCGGCGTCATTAATCACGATGAAACAGGCGGCTGAAAAGCCGAAGCACACCAGCCCTGGATAACTGGGTAAGAGAACCTCAGACAAAGCCCTGGAGGGCTCTACTGGACTCTATGGGTGGTGGCCGATGATTCTCACCTGCATCTCTCCAAAGCGGTAGTAGGACATCTTGTACATAAGGCAGTTGAGCAGCGTGGGGGAGCCAGCCTTGTCTACCCGGAACTCTCCCTGGGGGGTGAAGTAGTCGCTCTCCTGGGGGAGAATGAAGAAGAATCTGATGACACTGCCATGCACACCGACGTTTGTTCTTGACACGATGCAGCTACTTTGAGAGTTGGACACGAGTCAGAAAACAGGACATGGCAGTAGGGCACAGGAAGTCCCTCTCACCCGAATGTCCTTGGGGTGTTCCCCCTCGGCGATCCTGACCATCCACAGGAACTTGTTGATGTCGTCCCCGGAGTAGCCAATCACGCCCCCGAAGATGATGAGCACATAATCCACGTCTAGGCTCTGCATGATCTGGTAGGCTGCAGTCTCGTTGGAGGACATGGCCTTACCCACCTGGGAGATGGGGGCAAGGTGACCCACCTGAAGCTACCAGAATCCCCAGAAGCCATTTCCCACAATGCCCCTGTGATGCACCGCTCACCAGTGCGATGTGGCTGTTGTTCCACGTGTTATTGTCCACCAGCGTAGTGCGGTTCGCCATGCCGGCAATCTGGTACCCATAATCCCACCAGGACATGACCCGCGCTCGCTCGTCTGTGTTCTGCCGCAGCCAGTAGTAAGCCTCTCGGAAGTCGTCTAGAATGTTCCGCGACCTGCAGAGACAAGTGATATTAAAATCTATGGAGTTTAAGGTTCTAGAAATGTGGAATATGCACGATCCAGCATGACTGGTCCCTCAATGCGAGGCAGAAGAGGGACGTCATGGCAATTAGACAAAAAAAAAAAAAGCATGATGTACGTTAAGAGTCATGTGATCACAAAGGATGCGATGAAGGACAGCAGCCACTGAGGCCCTGAAGAGAGGCGCATGCGTAGCGCTCCGTGGCGAGGTCGGGGCTGCGTGCCCGGCGTACCCGTCGTGGTTGTAGGAGGCCAGCACCACGCTGGGGCTGGAGTAGGCGTTGCTGGTGACCCAGGTGCAGTGCACAGCGAACATCATCAGCAGCATCAGCATCAGCATGGTCACGATGCTCTTGATGTTGGGGCCCAGGCCACCCTCCGTCTTCTCCTGTTCCGACACGTGCTTACGCACCTTGCCTGCCTGTAGGGGGCGACGCGAGTCACTTCCTCCTTGACACTCTCCACATGTCCTTAACATGTGACCTTAGACATTATTCCCCTTCCTACAACTGAGGTTCATGATTTTAAAGATGCATACAAAGCTGGTCAAACCCCACCTCGCGTTGGCCTCAGAAGCTGCTCATCTCCTAAACGTGCAGATAGACCCGCACACAGAATAAACGCTCAGTGGGGACCACCCTGACCTTGTCGTACAGGTTGCCCGAGTTTCTCCTGTCGTCCTCGTCGCTGCTGTCCTCGGCGGGTGGGCTGTCCTTCTTCTGGTCGTCGCCCAGGTAGTGCTCGAAGACGCTGGAGAAG